AACTTAGATTTAACAGTCATGACTTGAACTGATCTTTGTATTTGTAAATATACAATTGCAATACATGTATTCGGAACCAGGAGTATGTCTTCATAAGATCAGATCAGAGAGCAACAGAAATAGCCAGAAACAACCGCAAATACAAAAACAATAGCAAATACTCATTTGTTCCCTAAACACTCAACTAGGAGTAATCGAACCTGTCCCTATCGATCACATGGTGCCACGAAATGGTTATATGCGCAAAGAAAAATGGTAAGCCTCGACGAACTGTTGATCTACAGCCCCTGAACAAGTTTGCTACTCGCGAAACACATCACACTTTATCACCTTTCTACCAAGCTCACCAGGTACCTCGTATCACAAAGAAGACAGTTTTCGATGCTTGGAGCGGCTACCATAGCCTACCCCTACACAAAGATGACCGCCATCTAACAAGTTTCATCACACCTTGGGGCAGATACCGTTACAAAACAGCCCCACAGGGATATATTGCATCTGGCGATGGCTACAGCAGACGTTTTGACGAAATCGCCTCTGATATTTCTGACAAAACGAAGTGTATCGATGACACATTATTATGGTCGGACAGCATTGAAAAAGCATTTTTCCAAGCTGTTCAGTGGCTCGAGCTTAACCGATGCCCGGTCCTGGTTTGGCATGGTGAACCAGGTATCATACGCTTTTGCATCAGATGAAAAGATGTTATCATTCCGCCAATAGCTCCAGCCGTCGACCAAATTTGTCTGGACGGAAGAACTCAACCAGCTCTTTGAGGAATCCAAAAAAACAATCATCAGAGAAATTGAATCGAAATCTATGACAAAGATAGACCCACATGCCTAACCACTGATTGGAGCAAAACCGGGATAGGATTCCGGCTTCTTCAAAAACACTGTTCATGTCCCACACAAAACCCATTCTGCTGCAAATCAGGATGGAAAATAACACTTGTCGGTATCACGCTATGCGTCAGTAGAAGGCGAGGCCCTAGCTGTTGTTGACGCCCTTGAGAGAGCGCGCTATTTTGTTCTTGGGTGCGAGAACCTTACAGTTGCTGTTGATCACAAACCACTCTTGAAAATATTTGGAGACAGATCACTGGAGAACATTTCGAACCCTCACCTAATGAACTTAAAAGAAAAGTTGCTACGCTACCATTTCAAAATGATACACGTTCCAGGCCTAAAAAACCTAGCGGCTGACAGCATGTCAAGACATCCAGTTGGTAAAGCAACAAAGATGACATTGATTGATGACATATCTGCATTAGATAACGCAATCGAGCATTCTAATGATCATAATTCGATACCCTTTCTACCTGGCTCTTTCATTGCTAACATCTGCATATCTAATGAATCAGAGAAGTTTCTCACATCCTGCGAAAATGCCACCACAATCCATGCTCTCAACAGCCTACAATCAGTTACATGGGACGACGTAAAAGTAGCCACTAATAGCGACCCAGGCATGTCAAAACTCATGACTATGATCAAAGATGGCATCCCAGAATTCCGTATGAACTCCCCGTGGAACTACGCGAAAATCATAGATTTCGTAACGACCTCCACACTTACGACGGGATAATACTCTACAACAGGGGTGGGCAACCCCTGGCACGCGTGCCAAAATTGACTACAAAGAATTATATTATGACGTAACAAAAGAGTGAGGTCCCGAGAAATTTTGTCGAGAAGACCGCAGCATTCATTTGGCTACATTCTTACGTAATATAGTTCGTCTGTGCTGCCCTTTTTCTTCATTTCTGCCTGATTTATGAAGTATAGCTCATGTTGGTTAGAGTTACTATTTGCTACCTTACTGTTATAAATTGATTTCGAAAGAACTATAAGCGATTAGGGAAGGGAATACAAGAGAGAAGTGCAGAAAACGAATTATTGCATGATTGGAATGCCATTGCCAAAAATATTTCGTGTCTTAAAAACTTTGCAACTGCATTACTCATGTATGTTTTCATTTACATATGCTTGTGAATCTCCGTTCTCAGTTATGAACTTCATTAAGTCTCGTAACAGGAGTATCCCAAAAGATGAAACGAGTAGTTTGTCTAATTTTTTGAAAGTTACCAAATATAAAATCTCCATCAGCGCTAATGCAGCAGCATAAGGCTCACTGATATAGAATAAGAAAAGTAATCAAATCTATTTGCCGGACTGATATTTTACGAATAGTGGATCTGTCTGTACATGTTTAAAAGGTTTTTTGTTTTGACAGTAGCAAAGCATTGTTTCTATATTGGTAGGCACGCGGAAGAATTATGTCGTTAAATTTAGCCGATTTTGGCACCCGAGCCGAAAAAGGCCCACCCTGCTCTACAAGAACCGGATTGTGGTTCCACCGTACCTCAGGGAACGCATCCTAAAATCCACTCATTCTGCCCATCAAGGGTATCTTCTATGTCATGACATCACGAGCAGAGACATCCGTTTTCTGGCCAGGCATCCCAAATGGTATCACAGCTGCGAGGACAAGATGCAAGCACTGCAATCGTATGGCACCATCTCAGCCAAGCAACCCACCTACGCCCACAATCCAACCAGTATATCCATTCCAATTTATATGTGCAGACTATTTTCACTATAAAGTGTTTAACTACTCTGTCATAGTCGACAGATATTCACAAACTGAGAATTAAACACGGATGCATTCCAGCGAGCGATGCTACAATATCGCAACATCCCAGATCAGGATACTAAAATGTCTCCGGCCATGCAGGTATTTGGTAGGCCAATTCGGGACTTTATTCCTATTCCACCCGGAAAATACGTACCTCAACAGACATGGCGAGAAACAAGAACAGCCAGAGAGGAAGCCTTGAGGAATCGTCACATGAAGGCTGCGGAACGCTGGACTGAACACATGCGACAACTCCCTGCCTTGGAAATCATGTCCGAATCCAAAATCGAACTGGCACACATCCGAATAAATGGGATAAGACTGGAATTATCATAGAGGTGAAACAGTTTGACCAATACATGGTTAAAGTTGACGGATCTGGTCGAATTATCATGAGGAACAGAAAATTTCTTAGGCGATATGTACCAATGTATCCTAGGAGCCCAATTATCGACCTCTTTCAAAATATGGCATCCCCATACATGCCACAAATTCAACATGGCCGCACGTCCAAAAGCGTTGACCGGTCACGAACAATACCACCTGATGATGAAGCAAAAATCCGTACTCCAGAAGAATAAACACCAGAGAGCAAACCCAACCACCCGCAGAAACCAACAACTGAGTCCCCGATGACACCAACATCTTTAAACTATAAGAAACTACCTAGAGCAGGGTGGTCCAAACCCAGCCCCGCCGCCGCTTCATTATCTGTGGCCCGCGTCACATTCGGAGAGTAATCAATAAATCGCATTTCGTGTTGTTTTGTAATCAAATTAATCAGAAAAACATATTGTTACATATTAATGATGCATATATTTGACACTAATGTCACTGAATTGACTATAGTATTATGGCTAGCTGAGGCAATTGGCGAAATTGTCTAAATTATTATCTGGCTTTCTATCTTTTTGGTCGGGAATATATGCTAACAATATAGGCATCATAGAAAACTGAAAATCAAATGCGGATTCTATTAGCCTGGGATGGCTATGTCTGATAACTATGTGTTTGCACAATAAAAAAAAGCGTTTGTTTTGTATTGCACTGTTTACCTATTCTTGGCACTATTGTGGCCCGCAAACAATAAAAAAATAAATTTGTGGCCCGCGGAGCCGACAACCTTGGATCACCATGACCTAGAGCGTTATCCAGGCTTCACCTTATAACAACCCTGGTCTACACGAATAGCCACGAATAACTTCACACAGGCCTAATACCTTGCCAAATCAAGATCTACCACTTCGGTCATTAAGACACAAGAAAACCGACTAATGACACAAATTTAAAATAATTTGCAATTATTGATATTGCAAAATTGTGTCAAACATTTATTTGTCACAATGCTCATTTATATATCAGTCTTTGTCTAAACTGGAACGCTATCCAAAAACTTGGGAGCGCATAGTGGATTATCAGTAGCATTATGCATTTCTTTTTGTATATATATTTATTGGTATTCGTTATTCACCATATACTTTCTGTTCATACATTGTTTACTGATAGCCTAATAAACAAATAGTGATTTATACTTATCTAGTTATAGTCGTCAAACATCATAACTTTACTTGAAGCAAAGATAAAAAATATTCCGTAAGAGAAATACTTGATATAGCGAGATGTACTGTTTACCCTTAAGTACGTCTTCAATATCATTACAATCGGAATGAAAAAACACATAAAGCAAAACGACATGTTATTCTATTGCATCCAGCAGCATTGAGTTTTCACAGGTTGCCCTGGCAAACAACTGTACCCGAATAATTTTATTGTTGGTTAGTGAAGATGGGAAGGAACATTTTATTTTTTGGCTTCATGTTCTCTCATGTTCTCATATTTTTAACTGCAACGTATGGCAGCAATGAGTAAAGTGTTCAGGGACATGATTCGGCGCATCAGCTGAACGGAGACATATCAAACGGAGAATGGTTCAATGTTCTAAATACTAACATAACGATCGACAGTATCGCAGGATGTGCTGTAAACATCGACTATAAATCAACCGAACGTGGAGTATCATCACATTTGTACTATTACAATATCGAGAAAAAAACGTTTCTTCTACATTCTGATTACATAGACGGAAAAAAATATCGATTCATGAATAGAGATAGGAAGAAATATGAAAGTGACTTAACAAAAGATATCGACCGGATATCTTCACCGGAACAGCAAAAAAATGATAAAAGTTGTTGAGAACTTTCCGACGCTGACGTATTCTATATCCACTGGGTACACGCGGCCCCACAATTATTTTTGTATTGTTTGCGGGCCACAATAGTGTCAAGTATAGGTAAACAGTGCAATACAAAACAAGCACTTTTATTGTCCAAACACATTGATCGTTAATTGTTATTTATCAAGCTAAAACATGCAAAAACTACCAAAAAACTCACTAAAACGTACAAAAATCTCACTATATCTACATTTAGTGTAAGATTTCACACTCATAACTGAGAAAGTTTCCGTTTTAGATTGTCTGTTTCAATTGGTCAGCTTTATTTTCATTAATATTTAGTTATCAGGCATAGCCAACCAACGCTAATAGATTCCTCATTCGATTTTAGTTTTCTATGAAGCTGGCTTTGTTAGCATATATTCCCGACGAAAAATCAACTTCTATTCAATATTTGTATTCGCTGCCTCATTTAATCGCCGAAGGAATTCATTTATGATATATTCCTCATCGGCTGGGTCATACGAATTCTGGAAAATAACGTCATTAGCATCTTTAACAGGGTTGATGAACACTGACAGAATTATATAATTTTGGAAATGATTGAAAAACGAATTGGATGAAACAAGTTCAAGAGATTTTCACCGCCAACAATATTTCTTCCCTGAACAATTTTGGTGCAAACAATTACAACGTAGATTAAGCGTCATTCGCCCTTTTCCAGAAAATGCTCGAACACAATACAACACAGACCGGAGTTTTCAACTGGTTTACTGACCGATTGCGTGTAATATAAGATTATATTCTGTAAAACAGGAGAAATTTTCCATTTTTTTGCTTGTTTTTCAAATTGAAACTCAATTCAAACTAAAAATGATTCAAAATAGATGTATTTGATAGTGTATAGCAAATAATAACAAAAAAATATTTTTTATGAATTTATCAAGTCAAATTTATGGCTATTCAACGACAATATCCCAAATGTAATATTTTCCTTACCTTGTAAATTGCTCCTACAACTTTAGTAATATCTGTTATAGTGAATGATGCATCATTATTTACCTAAAATGAAATCTTGCTATCTAACTAAATTTTTTAATGTTGTTGCTCTGTAGCTGAATTTCACATTCGGAAGTTTGCAAATAACTCTTCCTAAGCATAAAGCCGTAAAGAATTCTTTTGAAAATTAAAAACTAATTGGATGATTTTTTTAAAGCTCCTCAATAATTCACAAAACCAAATGGTGCTGTTTTGTTTTGTTCCTGTAATACATTCTTCATGTAATTTTGATTAATTTCGTTTTGTCTGTATGTCAACCGCAATAATACAAATATTGAACAAGATGTTGGAATGTCCACAATAGCTTTTTTAATACCTCGTTATATGATAAGAAGAGTTGAACGACCCAACCCTTTGCGAATATTTTTCAAGCCCATTTTCTCCCTGAAAGAACAAATAATGGGAAATATATATTATATTGTAAAAATTATAGTTACATACCGTGTTGAGTCATATCAGGTCAACTTAAAAGTAAAAGAGGATAATTCTCGCATTACAAAACTGAAATGTCAAAATATATATGAGGTAAAGAAAGGGCGGGATGCACGTATTTATTAGAAACAAAAACATTATAGTGCGTTAAAATTTTATCAAAAATTATATACGAAAATAGACAACTTCTACCTAACTTACAACGGCTCCTGTCACAAGTGTTGAACTTCATTATGCAGATATTTGTACAGGGTAAATTACCCTTTTGTGAATTTGCTTAATTAAATATTGCCAAAGACTTATCTAACTTTCTAAAATTAAACAATTCTTGTTTAATCATTGAATCATCATTCCTTGAATCATCATTCCTTGAATCATTATATTCCGCGAAAAAGTTGTAAATTCAATGCTCGAATCTAGTCAATGAGCCTGGTCATATAGTTACGCGGTTTGGAAATATAATATACTTTGCCGTACGGACTGTAGAAATTACGATATATATTAAAATTTTGATAATCACTGTTCGAGATGCTTATGGCTTTTCTAATTATTCAAGACTTCGCATTAGGAACAAATAAGCTGGGAACTATCTTTTTTTATTGATTCGGATTGGCGACTTAAATTAAACTTGGCAAGTTAATTGACTCAGGTATTCAGACACATCAAAGGAAAAGAATGTTTTTCGAATTGCGACACATGAACAAAGACGAGAATTTGAGGAATGTCAAACTTCTATAAATAAATGTGTTTCTAGATTTGATTTTACCCTGTGATAATATTTTTCATTATACGCCAGCGTTCTTACCATATCATTATTCCTTGATTAAGTTTGTCTGCATTGAAACGTCACCAAATTATATTAGGCCAACACCAAATTAGAAAAGCGCCAACAGACTTACTCAACGTATGAGTCGCTCGCTATACGGAGTCTAGTAGAAATTTACTGCATTGTATACTTTGAAACATATCATACATATCCTACATATCATATTGACACACTCAATTGTATTGCTCAAAATATATGTACAAAACTGCGTGTCGAAATTGGTTGGTATAAATTGCCACGTTTCTAGTTTAAACATGGAGATCGTCGCCAAAGTAACCCTAGAAAGAAAATTTTTTATAGAAATGATCACTTGCACAAGTTTACATGCAGAATGAGATATACTTATGGTGGTGTCTCTCTTTTGTCAAATATAAATTTTATTGGGTCTCCTCAAGCACGACTCTCTCGTCAAATATTTATTTTATCTGATTCTTCCCAAGCACGAAAAACGAATCCCCCCTTTATGGTTTTTAACTTGCTATACTCCGTCATGCTAGTCAGCAATTTCTTTGGTGTATCTACGTTCACCCATGCATGAAGTTACAAAGTAAAACTGACTACGCTCACTCATGCATGGCGTTACAAAGTAAAACTGACCATGCTCACTTATGCATTACGTTACAAAGTAAACTGACTTAGTGCACTCATGCATGACGTTAGAAAGTGAAACTGACCATGCTCACTCATGCATGACGTTAAAAATGTGAACTGACTTCGCTCACTCATACATGACGTCACAAAGTGAAACTGACTAAGCTCACTCATGCATGAATGACGTTACAAAGTAAAACTGAACACGCTCACCGACGCATGAAGTTTTATATTAAAACTGAGTATGTTACAAGGTAAAACTGACTACGCTCACTCATGCATGATGTTACAAAGTATAACTCACTATGCTCACCCACGCATGAAGCTACAAAGTACGCTCACCCCATGCATGAAGTTACAAAGTACAACCCCATGTATGAAGTTCCAAAGTAAAACTGACTATGCTCACTCATGCATGAAGTTCCAAAGTAAAACTGACTACTCTCACTCATGCATGAAGTTACAAAATGCGTGAAGTTACAAAGTAAAACTGACTATTCTCACTCATGCATGAAGTTACAAAGTAAAACTGACCACGCTCACCCATGCATGAAGTTACAAAGTAAAACTGACTATGCTCACTCATGCATGAAGTTACAAAGTAAAACTGAATATGCTCACTCATGCATGAAGTTCCAAAGTGAAACTGACTATGCTCTCCCATGCACGAAGTTACAAAGTAAAACTGACTACGCTCTCCCATGCATGAAGTTCCAAAGTAAAACTGACTACGCCCTCCCAAGCATGAAGTTACAAAGTAAAACTGACTATGCTCACTCATGCATGAAGTTACAAAGTGAAACTGACTATGCTCACTCATGCATGAAGTTACTAAGTAAAACTGATTCGCTGACCCATGCATGAAGTTACAAAGTAAAACTGACTATGCTCACTCATGCATGAAGTTACTAAGTAAAACTGATTCGCTGACCCATGCATGAAGTTACTAAGTAAAACTGACTATGCTCACCCATGCATGAAGTTACAAAGTAAAACTGACTATGCTCACTCATGCATGAAGTTACAAAGTAAAACTGACTATACTCACTCATGCATGAATTTACAGAGTAAAACTGACTATGCTCTCTCATGCATGAGGTTACTAAGTAAAACTGATTCGCTGACCCATGCATAAAGTTTCAAAGTAAAATGACTATATGCTCAATCATGCATGAAGTTACAAAGTAAAAAGGACTATGCTCACTCATGCATGAAGTTACAAAGTAAAACTGACTATGCTCACTCATGCATGAAGTTACAAAGTAAAACTGACTACGCTCGACCATGCAAGAAGTTACAAAGTAAAACTGACTACGCTCACCCATGCATGAAGTTACAAAGTAAAAGTGCCTATGCTCACCCATGTAAAGTACAAAGTAAAACTGA